TTTGCAAAACATGCTATAAGATACAGCACTGGTGAAGCCACATCTCAAATCCTGTGTTTAGTTCTGGGGCCCTCTCTGCACTGAGGTGCTGGAGAGTGTCCAAAGAAGGGCAAGAGAACTGGGGAAGGGTCTGGGGCACACATCTGAACATGTGAGGGAGCTGGGGTTGTTTAGCCTGGAGAAAAGGAAGCTCAGGAGAGACCTTATCACCCTTTACAACTCCCTGAAAGGTGAGAGTTGTTTTTTTCTCACACCTAATAAGTGATAGGACAAAAAGGAAATGGCCTCAAGTTGCACCAGAGAAGTTTTAGATTGGATAGTATAATTTATTTTTCCCTGAAAGGGTTGCCAAGCATTGGGAGAGGCTGCCCAGGGAAGCGGTTGAGCCACTGAGCTACGGAGCCAAAAGATCCGTAGATACTCAGCAATATGGTTCAGTGGTGAGCTTGGAAATACTGGGTTAAAGGTTGGACTCTATGATCTTAGAGGTCCTTTCCAACATTAATGATTTTACTTTTGTCTCTTGGAGAACTCTAATTTCTGTATCTCATTATGTATTCTTAAGTTACATAGGGAATTTTAATCATAATCACATTTTACTGTAATCAACTTCAGCTTTTAAATTTTTAAACCAACTAAACCAGAATCCAGTAGACTATTCAAATCAAGTATCCAATACATCAGAAATATATCTGCAAACAAAAATTACCAGGAAATCTACTTGTGGTAAAAAAACTGAATTATAACCTCCACATAAATTCAGTAAGAGGTTTGTCTTAATATTCTTTGTATTTGGAAGTTAAATGGGTCAAAAAAGGAACTTCTATCTAACATTTCAGGTTTTCATTCTTCTATTCAAGTAAAACTATGTACAGCTCTTTTTTCTTCTTTACAGTCTTTGCTTATTGTTTGGTTCTTTTAAAGGGATTTATTAATCTATTTATTTTTCCCTCACCAATAAGCTGTAATGTTATTTCCAATTTCATATTCTTAAAACATACCTCTATTAGGTGCTTTACTTACCTTCATATTGCATTTCTGTGGCAAACAAAAGCAAATTAGGCCTTTAAATGAGCCTGTGAAGAAGAAGCAGTCCTAGTACACAGCAAAATATTTTCAGGTACGCAGTACTCATGGACTTGACCCTTATCTGGGACATGCCAGCACAGTAGAGAGAAGCTGGACTTCTAAAGTGAGAAATTTGCAGGATTCAATTTTAGCAGTTTTGTAACTGCAAAGAAACAGTTCCACACACCCTTTTCTCAGCACGCTGCCAGCTTGAGAAGCTGGTGCTGTACTCTGGACAGTCACTGTCACCCTGTAACACATTTCCACTTTTCTGACATAACTATTTGTGCGTCTGAACAGCCACCTGAATCCAGGATTTGGCCACGTTAAAAAACAAACAGAAAAAAATACTTCTTACTTTATCTTATAATAATCCTCAATATGGTGACTCTGGACCTTGCATCTCGGTATAAAGCAAAGATGTCAGGACAGCAGGAATAAGGGCTTAGGCTGCTACTGAAGGCAAGCAAAATCTCTTATAATGGGCTCAGTGTAGCCTCAGTAAAAATCCTTTCTACAGCCTCGTTTAAAAATAGCTATAAAATTTAGATTCCATTCTATGATAAAATAAATACTGAAACAATTTTCAAGCCATAACTAGAGAAGCAGAAGTGCTTTATCCAGTGAATCTGAGTTAGGAGTCAAGTCTGTGAATTGTATAGGACAAGGCACATCTGTGATGTTACCTCAATAGATAAATTTATAAAAGAGAAATAATAAAAGAATCATTTAAACACAGTATCAGATAATTAAGAAAAAGCACCATGGAAGTGTTCCTCAGGCATCTACAAGAGATCTTTACAGGCAAGTACTAGCTGAAAGCATCATAAAGCAGTGGGAATCTGTTTAACATAGAATTTAGTGTACTTCATTAGTGAGCAGGATTCCTAAACATACCTAAATACCTGAAACTGGAAACTGTTTAACAGATTAAATATGGTTTAGTCTTAACAGTAAATAAGCATGAAGTATTTTTAAAAGCTTTCCAGTCCTGGTCTTTTTGAAATTCATAGTGTCCTCCTACATAGACACCATTACTTCTTTATCTGAGACAACATTTTAAAGTGCTACGTGATAAATTTTCATTACAAAGTACTGCAACTTATCTTGAAAGTGATGGACATATATTTCTAGTTTAAAAAACATCAATAGTTCTATAAAAACTAGATCACGAGAGCACATATCAAATGTAGCAGAGTTAATTCTACAAGACTGTTTTCCATCTTCAACTAATGGATCTTCATTAAACTCCCTTATGACTTCCCAGGGCTTGCAAATGAGTGAACCAAAATTATTTTACTGAATATGACGCTAAATTATTTCACTTCACAGTACAGAAATGTATTGGCAAATTATACAGATATGTTTGCATGTATTTGGATATCCTTAGTTACCCAAATTATTACAGAACCAGGTAGAAGAAATATGTAGAGCAAAATTGCAGACATTGAACTAATATAAATGAAACCGTTTCAAAATCTGGTTTTGTTGTACAACACTATCTACAAAATTTCTGCTGTAAACAGACATCTAAAATAACCTGATACTACAAAAGCCAAAAATAATTCAATTGAATGGTCTACAAGAAATGCTATAAATACATCTACAAACCAACTATACCTTCAGGGTGTTCAACCTCTGCAGAAATGTCATGCTGCACTTTTTCAATTACATGAATATACTCCACTTTTCCTCCACAGTACTTCTGTTGAGCAAAGGAAAACATCCTTTCCACTTCACAAAATTACACTAGTATCTTTGTGCATGTGATTTCATTCAATAGCTACACCCTCCAAGCTCTGCTATCATCTGCAGTCTAAAAATAAAATGTACCAGAAGTATTTGGTATATTTTCATCTGATATAAAAGTGGTGTATAAATAAAATGTGTCAAAATATTGTGTGTGTGTGTGTGTGTGTATGGGGAGGTTAATTTGAGTAAGCATTGATAAAATGTTGATAAAGCTACTGAAGTAGTCAACTTGGAATAATCCTAAACATACAACATTCTACTTGCTTTTTTATAAAACTACTGAAAGAGCAAAACCTGTCTTTTAGCAGTAACTAAGTATGTTAATGGAATACACAGGTTTATTTCAACAGTAATATATGCACCACATATTTGTTTATTAACAAGTTACACTCTGGTATTTATAGAAATACAAAAAAAATTAGGGGTGTATACACATATACACATATATAAAATGTACAGTCAAAGCATTCAAATATGTTTTTGCTATCTTATAAGGATATAAGCAAACAAGGGCTCAATGAGAACAAGTTCTCCTTTTCAAACAAATGTCATATGTTGCCTTAAGAAATGGTGTTGGTGGATTGCAATGCAAATCATAGTATTTTTCCATCTTTTAAAAGAGATTTTGCAGCCCAGGAACAAATACCATTATATTTTCATTGTAAGGGCTACTCTCCTCTATATTTGGACATGTATTTCCATATAGAAACTCTAATTAACAAAAACAGAATTACACAGAACTCTCTGCATGAGCAATTCTGACATACTCTAACACTTTAACATAAGAAGGCCTTTCAAAATGTACTGAAGTATAGAAGAATGAATAAAAACACTATTCACAGAATCATGAAATAGTTATGGTTGGAAGGGATCTTAAGTATCATCTAGTTCCAATGTCCCTGTTCACTGCTGCAGTAAACCTTCCACTACACCACGTTACTCAGAGCCCCATCCAGCGTAGTCTTGAACACCTCCAGGGATGGAAATTTCACAGTCTCTCCGGGCAACTTGTTCCAGTGCCTCACCCAATCCTACAGGTAAGGAATTTCTTCCTAGTATCTAATTTAAACCCAGCTTCCTCCTACTTAAGGCTGTTTGCCTCTTTTCCTATCACATGTCCTCGTAGAAAGTCCCTTCTCACCAGCTTTCATGCAGGCCCCTTTAGGGAAAACAAGGCTTAAGTTAAAGACACTCACTGTTTTTAAAATATGTATATATTTTTATAATTTGTATTTACAATAACCAATTCCTTGAACCACAAATTTTTAAATTTAATAATAATAAAATTATTATAAATAATAAATAATATCCCTCACAAGAGAGTTCACATTGTGGAGAAAGTTCTTGAAATGTAATAAACTCTATCTTAGCAACACATTTTTATCTTAGACTCTTGTTTACAAGCCCCTGCACCATTTCTTCATTGCATTAATGCCGCTGGTTCTATCAGAAAAGACAAAGTCTTTTCTCAGAGAATTTCTCAGAGCAATTAAAAGAAGTATCAAGATTCTCAGCAATTTTAAAATGGCAGCAATACACTTTGAAACAACATATATGAGGGGGATTATATTGACAGTAAATACTAAGTTCCAAAGCCTGGGGAGGGAATGAGTAATGGGAATATTTGCTGCATTTGATCACAGTATTCTCAGCCTAAAATTGTTGTACTGCAGCATTCCCAAAGCTCCAGCTGCATTTTGCCTCAAGATGGATCACTTGAACATGACAGACTCCCAAAATTGGTTTTCTATATCATCTTTTAGCCGATGGATATAAAGAGACATTCAAAATCTTAATAATTTGTTTTCTTGGCTGCAAAAGACAAGTATTAGACTGCATGCCTGTTTTTCATCAGATGTCCTACTGGAAAAACACAAGTTCTTAACTTAAATATACAAATAAAACAAAACCTTCCAAACCTCATGTTTTTCCAAGGGAAACTTTTAAGCTACTCTGGAGGTTTCTAATGCTCCCATCTCTTTCTCTAATCAAGAAATGTTTGAAAAAATCACAGACATACAACAATGATTAGACTGAATTACTGGTCCTCTTTAAATCAATTATTTCAAGACAGAGAAAATTACACAAATTAGCAGAATTCTGTTAGTATTCTAGGACAGAAGCACAAATACAAATACTTAAATTTTATCCCACACAGGCACCTGAGAGGGGAATCTTACCTTGATCAAATGGTTTACCCGGACTCCACGTACGAAAATAATCATCCTGGAGGGGGAGAAACAGCCGAAATTTAGTAAAACATAAGGAATCCATGAAAAGCTCACAGTATCATAGAAGACAGAAGAAGCATACCAACCTCTACTTCCTAGAAAACGCAGGCAGCAAAATAAAATAAAAAAAGGAGAGAAAAAGATTACAGTTATCATGATGGGACAAATTACTTATACAGAATAAAACAGTGTAATTCAGAGGCCATTTGCATCACTCATCAAGTAAAAATGCCACTCAAAAATGTTACTTACACATTTTAATGTGTAATGTAAAAATGTAAAATAGAAAATGTCTTACAGTACTCACATAGGTAATGTTTCTAACATTGTTTTTAAATGTTATGACAGTTTTCCTGTACTTTAACTTCAAAGGTATTGAAAAACTTGATTATATTTTCAATGAATGATTTTTCAAAATTAAAGCTTCAAAATCATAATCAATAAAATACAGCTATTTTAAACAATATGTGAATTTTAATAAAATAATTTGCTATGTAGCTTTAACTGCATCAGTAAGATCTTTCATTTAATCAGTCTAATTAGATCTATTTTCTACAAATCATCATTATAAACATAAAATATCTTCCTAATTATGTCATCAGCTATATTAGGCTTCAATTTCAAGACGGAAAAGCTTGAATTAAATAAATGGCTTTCAAGATTATGAGAAATTTGATAATAAATTACAAATTATTGGCTGAGACAATAGATCAATCTGCATATCTCAGATAACAGGTGTCATAGAAAAATGGCCAGAATTATTTATTATGTCTTAATCCAGCTAACTATTCTCTAGAAAAAAATATTTAAAAGACTGTACCAAACATTTTAAACTCTGTATAAATTAAACTTAACAAAACACAGTGGGTATACTGTCAAATCCAGCAGTTCCATCCCATTTGATAAAAGATCACTGCAGGAATCTATACCAATTTTAACTACTGAGAAAATGTAAATCTCATACAGTTGTCAAAGCCAGACAGTAAGAAGTTAAAAATGATCAAGCATCAAACATGTCTTTGCAAGTACAGAACGCTTGTTGGGTTTTTACCCCAAAAGAAAAGGATAAAAAAAAGTAGTTGCAGCCTAAACTGTATTTGACTGATTATGTTTTATTAGCAAAAATGTTGTTACAAAAATTTGTGCTTCCAAAGAGAAAGACAGAAATTAGCAGACTGTAAAAGTACAAAATAGAACTGTATTTCTGTACAAATTCTTAACCATTCCTTTACTCTGGTGCTGAACAGATTAACAATCTACAAATCACTTTACCTGATTTGCCTTTTTAATTACTATATTTTTAAAGTAATAAAATACACACAGGTGTATCTTTTTTAATCACACACGAAGTAAGCAAGAATTACAATTATGATAGTATTTTTCATATATTCCTCCTAATAGTCACTATGATGTTATTCCTTCAGGGGTGTTCTGAACAGGTTTAAACCAGCTGTAAGGCAATGCTGTTCCAGGAGTCACACCACAGAGGCAAAACTTAAAATTCTTGAAAAAACATCAAAGTGACAGATTTTCTTTCCATGTCTACTAAATCAGCAATGTTCATCCACAATGAGCCCATGCAGAAAATTGGGTTGTTATTAAAATGGTGAAAAATTAGAATATCTAGAACATAAAGCTATTAGAACAAAAGAGAAGTCATCCTGAGCGAGACAAATATCCACTCCAAGGCAAAGCATCCTGCATTTTGCTCAAGGAACAATGTACAAGTGGGGCTTGTATAAATTACATGTTCTCAAGTTGGCCTCAAACCATCCAGAAGATAAATCAATTCTTGTTCATCTCTATAATGCAGACAACTTCACAGATCCTGAATATAATATCCCTCAGGCATTGCTAGAATTCTTGCTGACTTACTTCTGTCTACAAAGCAACTCCATACCTTTCTTGTTACCCTTCTGTGAATCTTTTCCAAGTCTGTTTTCTTGGCAAATAGAATTGTGCAGAGCATTCAAGACGAGCAGCATTATGGATCTATACACAACACAGTGCTTTTTTGCTCTGTATTCTCCCCAATATGCCTACCCCTCTATTGTCTTTGTAGGTTGTGTCTGGTTTTGCTCTTTTTAATTGTATATGACTTGAATAGTTTGCATAAAATTTTCTCTTAGATACAAAATATAAATACCCATAAACCATATATAGCTATACTGATTTTCCCTAAAGAATTCATCTTTCCCATCAGCTGCTACTTAAATAAAATCCACTGTTGGGTATGTTCAATAAAACCCCTATGTGCCTCTACAAACAATTAAAATTGTTAATCAGTTGTCAGATTAAGTAAAGAAATTGTTTCAATAAATTATAGCTTCACAATTTTACAAATATTCCTGAAGCTGTTTAACCTTCTGCATAAGAACCTGGCTTCCTCTTACATTCAGACCTTTCCTGATCTTCAGTCAGTAAGTTTGATTATAATAATGTTCAATATCCTCTACAGAATGTAATCAAGATCATTATACAACATACAAAGCCTCATTTTGTAATTTTAACATAAAAACAGAATGAAGGAATACACATTTTACAGTGAAGGCCAGATAGCATCACAGCATCCCTAGGTAAAGTATCCTTTAACAATCTATAAATGCAAAAGTCAATGTCTCAGGATCTCAGGACAGAGCCTGTCTCCTGAATTTCCTTGCCTTTGTCCTGAGCATGTTAAAGGACGAGTTGTAAAAGTACACAGAATAAAGTCCCAGATTTGTAACAGTAACTATACCAGTTTTCCAATGTTTTCCAGCTAAAGATATTCATACATTTTAAACAGAAAATTCATCCCTACTGCTCTACTTGAAACTATGTGAAATGTCAGGATTTCTTTCAAGTGTCTCTTTGAAAGACACAAAGCACTTCTAATAGCCATGGATGATGGATTTCAATGAGTTTAATATCCATGCCTTAAAATTATGCATGTTTAAGCATTACATCCATTCAGGGTCATAGTGATGAAGTGTTTCTAAGAACTTAAGCTCATGCTACAATTAAATATGCACTTTGAGACTAATATTTTCATGGGGTTTTTTTCCTGAAAAGGTCTTACTATTACAAAAAAAATCTATGTTGTCTGAAAATCTGACAACCCTACAAAAAGAACCAGAACAGCAGCCTGATCAGCAAAGATATTAAAAAATAGGAAAAAAATATATTCTGCCTTGAACATTTTTATTGCTTCTTTCTGGCCTTCAATATTCTTCCATATGTATTCTCACATTGTTAAAAAGGAGTTATTATGTAAGTTTTTTAAAAATACACATTTAAATATGGTGAGAAACAAAAAAGCTCCATGAAAAAAAAATAATCAAACAACAAAAAGCCTAACCCATACATGGCAATGTAGTTAGAATGCAGCAGAAGTTTTCACCTTTAAATAGACACAGAGCCACTGCTCTTCTTACTGTTCTTACTGCTTTTCTTTCCACTGTAGCACATTTGCTACATTATTTAACCAATCCCTCCTCTGCAACATTTTCTGTAGATGCTGCCATCACTTGAACAGAAATTTGTATTCTAAAGAACACAGTAATACATGGTTGATAAGTGACTCAGAGAACAGCAGGTGTCTATGGGCAAGGAAGGATGTTTCCTCACAAATATTTTCAGACCAAGGTTGACCTGAAAAACTGGATAAAGAAAACTCATCCCTTGTTTTGTATCCTAGTATGGCCTATACAATAAAAGCTAATATATTAAAATAAAAGCTGATTTGTAACAGAGAATCCATTAAAACTGAAGCAGTTTTCTAAACTTATAATTATCTTTATATTTTATTGAAAAACAATTTCACCGCTGCAGCACAGGGATACTGTTATTTATGTGACTTTCAAACTACCAACTTTAGAAGAAGTCTAATTGTCAACTGCACAATGTCAGGCTTCATTTATAATAACTTTACAAGAAACAATACTTTCTAACAGTTAGCAAAGCAGGAAAGACAAGATTTCCTGAACACTGTTGAACACTGTTCAACAGTGTTCAACAGCAAACTTAATTCTGCCTATACAAAATTCCACTCAGATTTTATATGACTTACCATAATGCAAAAAATACATTTTACTGCTGGCCTCACTCTTGCTATAGAGGGGTTTGTTTGTTTTTAACAAAGAAGAGTTACATACTTCAGTATGTAGAAGGATATGGAATTGCATTTGATAATTTTAGAAGCAAAGGTTTTTCTGGCTGCACATGCTCCCTAAAAACTTAAAACCTACAGTATTTGATTCAGATTTTTTCCTCACTGCCATTAGCTGCTTTCCTATTGAGTATTTCACTCTTTATAATTTCAAGGAGTTCTCAATGGGCTTTCCATTGCAATTCTTCTCTCTGCATCTCAAGTACACACATCTGCTTCTCATCTGATACGAAAGCTCTTTACCTCTTTTAGGCTAGGTCTTTGCTATTTGGTAGCTATGCTATTTTCAGACTCCACTTCAACAAGCCAACTCAGTTCAGCCAACTGTCCCACATCGCAGCTCTCCTCTTGTCTCAAGCTCACTTCTGCAGAAAACTTGAGCTCACCAAGTATCTCTTCTGCCCCAAACCTCCCCAGAGAGTCTAACATATATTTGTATCCCACGTCTCACTGAAAGAGCTGGGGTAGGGTTGTTAACTGATACTTCTGCACCAACCTCTTTCCAGTGCTGGAAAAAGAAAGCACAAAATGTGTGCAGAAATGTTTATTCTGCTTGTATTTTGCTCCAAGACCTCCAGTCTAATGTCAGTAAGACTGTGATTATCCTACAAAGCCTTAAATTGCTGGTCACATGGAGAACTGTTACAGGAATAAAAGGATGAGACAACAAAAACGCTGCCATCATATGAAAAATCCACTAGTCCTAAATAACTGTAGTTTCCTTAAATAAGAGAGGGCCTCAGACAACAAACACAGAGTAACTAACACACACACATCTAATGAGAGCACTATCCCAAAACATAAACCATAACTGAGGAACCGAAAGTTGCACCAGGAAAACACAT